TCTCAACTGGCCACAGTGTCAAAGGCAGTTAGATATTTTTTTAAGATGTATAAAGAATTTTTATAATCACTGATGTGAATTTTAAAAGCAATTCAGGTGGCTCTTTTAAATTTCTCTCTTTAAAATACTAATCGACTTTACCTTTAGGTAGCCCGGATTGATTTTCCCCTCTATGGATCACAGATGTCCAGATAGATAGTCTTTCATACCCGATGCTATGATATTATGTTACAAAGTATTTTTAATTAACAAAAGACATAACTAAGGTATCCTGAAATATGCTTTAAACTTGTTTTTCCCAAAAGTAGACCCATCTGCTAGTTTTCATCCAACTCATCAGGGCGTGTTTATTTCAGCAACTAACAAGCTTTCTGACTCCATCAGCAAGAGGAGGAGGCCAACAGGCAGGCTCCCTCTGCGTCCATCATGTCTCACCCATGAATTTGCGCCCCGAAGGACATCTTTTCGTGGCCCAAACAATGATGGAGATCACTCGGTGGAATAATGTATGGCAGCTGTTTCAGGGCAGTTGCTCAACTTTTGCTTGGTTTAACTCATGCTCACAATAACTAGCAAAGGCCTTCTGCTTTTCTGGAGGAAATGCAGCCGTTTCTAAGTCATCACCTAAACTGGACCAGCGCTCCCTGCCAGCAGTCACCACCACCTCCACAGTGAGGAGGCCCTCGCCTTCCGCAGCATCACCCTCCCAGACCCCCGGAAAGGCAGGATAGGGGACAGCAGTGGGAGGTGAGGCTGGACGAAACATGTGGTCTAGACCCTAAGCTAGGGAATGGGATCTATTCTCGGAGACAGCCAACCTTAAGTTTCCCACCTAAGGGAGTGAAGACCAGGGCCGTACTCAGTATAAGTATGACCTCGAGGTCAGCTCGATCCTCATGATCTTCAAGAACTGAGTTGGCTTCCTTGGACCCCTACTTTCAGGGTCTTAAGAAAACTGAAGTTCCCTCTTTCCAAGAGATCTACAAACTGCTGATGTTTGCCTGCCCATGCTCCAGCTCCTCTGCTCACGTGTGATCTTTTTCATTCCTACGTCACTCATGGAGCAAAGCGCAGTCTCTTGCAGGTTTCCACGAGACATCCATGGTCACTGAGCATCGTACACGGTATTGTAAGTTTATAGAATAGCTAGAAAGTTGGGAGACAGATCGGACACTGAGTCATCTTCTACCTTTCACTCATTCTACGACACTCCCAGCCATCTTCTTTTATTTTTGCATCCTTCTCAAGAATAACCTAAAGTCTCTTTCCTTGGGCATGCAGAACAGTGTCCCTCTATCCTGGATGCTGCTTGTCTACACAGACATCCCAAGCTGGCTGGTCAGAAATTTTCACATAAGAGCAGTCCTTATTGAGAAATTTTCAGAAGGACCATAAAGTTGAAGAAGGAAAATAAAACCTTCTCTTTATCTATCTTGTTTTGAGTAGCTCTTCCCCACACTGCCTAGTCATGAGTGCTCACCAGATACAGATCCCTGCGATATGCGACATTAAAATTCACAGCCACTTACAACCAGGTGAAGCTCAAAGACTGGGCCCAGTTATTCTGTTAGAAAGTGACAGAGCTGGAATTTGAACACAGAGCATTTCAAGCAGGGAGTCCAGTGTGTTTTCCCACCTTTTTCTGGGCTACATACACAGGCGAGAAAGGCAATTCCCCCTCAGGTGCAGCCAAACACTTGGACAGTAGGACAATCTTGAGCTCAAACACAAAGAACATGTCTTCATAATGAGAATCATTTCCAGGCCCCAAGGCGTCACTGGAAGTAGAACATTTGGCTTCCTCTACTTCTTCCTTCCATTTCTCCTGACTAGATTAGGGACAAAGTCCTGGGCTGCAGGAAGATCCTGATGATCCCTGGCAGCCCAAACCCACATCTGCCCACACTTCACTGGGCTGAGTGTCATCCATGATCATCTCACAAATTAGGGAACCCAAGTGAAAGGATGACTCCAATTTCGGGTTAGAAGGACCCTGCGACCTCCCCAGCCCCCTAGGCATTATGGGAAATTGACCTGGAAAATCAAATGCAAAGACGGGTGCCAAAGTATAGGAGGCTTGTTCGAGGCATGGTAGAACCTATTAGCTAGAGAAATTGGCCTGGAAATCTTATTAAAAGAGAGAAATCATTCTACATTCTCTCCAGACTGACAATATTGGGGGCAACAGACTATTCCTGATGCCTCGGATCCATGCACCTCATGTCAGGACCACAGTCAAACTCTGGCAAGGCTAAATTCAATGCAGGTGATAAAGGCAATTATTTTTTTAAATGGGCAGTTCTGATTAATTCCAATTTCTCTGGCCAGCCATGAACTTATCTGCACCAGTCCCTCATTACTGCAAATGTTGCAAGGCAGAAGAGCCAATGGCAAAGAGAAATGAAGTTCAAATTGTGGATTTGTCGTCACTGCACAGCTCAGCAGTAGACGCTTGTCCATGCATAAAAGCTCCGTGGCCAGACTTCCTCACCCACCCACATGTTCACACCCCCTTTCTCAGGGCGCTCGATCAACCCCCAGTGGAGATGCTGGGAAACCAAGGCACTGTTGCCTTATGAGACTGAGTCTTGCATATGTTTGCTACTTACGAGAGGTGATAAGAAGAATCCTTCAAATTTAATTACAGATGGTCTCCAACGTACAACAGTTTGACCTAGGATTTTTTTTTCTTTACCGTGCTATGAAAGTGATATGCATTTAGTAGAAACGGTACTTCAAATTTTGAATTTGGATCTCTTCCTGGGCTAGCACTATGAAGTACTGTCCTGTGTCTGATGATGCTGGGCAGCAGCTGAAGCTGCAGCTCCCAGTCAGATGCAGGATCAGGAAGGGAAACAATAAAAAAGCTACAGTGTGCAATGCTAAGCTATGATGTTTAGTGGGTTAGGGGTATTAAGTGCATTTTTGATTTATGATATTTTCAATTAATGATGGGTTTATGGGGATGTAATCTTGTCACAGCTCAAAGAACTTCTCTATAATGGTAATGATGTAATCACAATGATTATATGATAATTAAATTATAAATGTAGTGTAATTCATTGCAGTCTCAAATAAGTGCTTACTTCATACCTGGTACTGTGCTGAGGGCTTTATTACATTCATTATTTTCTTTATCTTCAGAATAAGCATTCTGACTACTACTAATAAGGTGCATGGTGTTATCCCTAAGCTAAATTTTGGGTTTCCACCTTTAGATGGAAGATATGAGTTTCCCTCTCTTACATTACCCTTCCTTCCTACTCTTCTCTCTAATTCTAGTTCTGGGGGAAGGAGAAAATAAAAGACATTTCAGTACGTGACTTCCTAAAGTGAGTTGTTTGTTTCCATCCCCAAAGGAAGGGGAAAATCATTCCCTTCCTTTAAACCCCTGCATCAGAGGAGGCCACCACACAGCCACGGGCCACTTCTGTCAGCCTAGCTCTTTGCCTGCAGTCTGAGGATGGGCGAGGGCAGACTCCACTGAGGACAGCCTCAGTCTCCAACTGTTCTCAGAAACCTTGGTGCATCCTTATAAGTCCTGGCTACATCTTCTGGGCAAGGCCCCAATTTCCTCTCTATCACGTGGCTCCTGCTAATGTTGGGGTGGCCCCAGCAAGCTTGCAGCCTCAGTCTTGCTCTCTGCTGTGGCCCAAATCTGGGACCTGTAGATCTGGGAGCCAGGAACTCAAGGGAGCCTGCCTTGTCCCTTTGCAGCCACACCCTGCCACTTACTTCAATATTCTTTCCCCAAGAGAAGTCATCTAGCAGCTCAGCAGATGACATATCTGTCTCTCTCTTTGATGACACCTACAAGCTTAAAGACCAATTATCTTAGACTATGATCTTCTCAGTCTGCATACAGCTAGTATTTGGGGTCAGATAGCACTCAAAGAGGAGCTCTTGTATGCATTGCGTGATATGTAGCAACATCCTGGCCTCTACACACCATTTGTCCACAACAGCCCCTAAGTATGATGATCAAAAATGTCTAGGAAGGGGCCAGGGATTTAGCTCAGTGGTTCTGCCACCTGCCTTACAAGTACAAGGTCCCGAGTTCGAACTCTGGTACCAAAAAATAAATGTCTAGGAAAAGCTTGGCATGGTGATGCATGCTTGTAATCCCAGCATTCAGGAGGCTGAGGCAGGAGGATTTCCTATAGTTCAAGGTCAATCTGGGCTTCATGGTGAGTTCAAGGCCAGCCTGAAATGCATAGTAAGATCCTGTCTCAAACTGCACCCCGCCCCACAAAAAAAGTCTAGGACATTGGCAGGTATCCTCTGGGGGTTGGGGTGATAACCTCCACCTTACAATGAGGGGTAACCATCATCTATTGCTCTCAGATGAGAGTTTTGATTCCCAATTCCAGAAAAATTGAGAAGGATCATCAGCAAGATCTCTCAACACTAGGTGACTTTTCTTACGGTGCAAGGGAAGCACAATTATCCTCGACTTACACTGGAGAAGGCAGAGGTCTGCGACACACAACTACTAAGCAAGAAGCCTGGATTTGGACCGGAGAGCTCAGAGGCCAAAGCCTGTATTTTTTAAAATTAGTCGTGAGCTGATCATGGACAAACACTGTGTGAGTTTTCCTGGAATGGTAAAAAGTCTGACATGATTTTCAAGATGGAAAAAACAAATTGTGTCTGCTATTCCCTTAGAGCATTCTATCTAATCCTGATGGCAGCAATTAAAGGTAAACACTATTCTCTCCATTTTATAGCTGAGGAAACTGAGGTATACCAAGGCTAACAAATGGTTTGAAATCAGCAAAACAAAGATATTTAAGAATAGTTTCTGGGTTCAGAGCCTTGGGATTTCAACATCCAAAAAGTGGGCATCTGCTCTCCCATAGGGGAGCTGAGTCTGATTTACTACATGATGTTCTACCTTCCTGGCCAATGTGCCCTGCCAGCAATAAGAAAGCCTTGGTGATAAATGACACTCATGTACTCCCTCTCCCTTGCTTTGTCCTTGGCTCCCTTTCTTGCACCAGCTCTGCATGCAGTACTGGCCTGAGAAAACATCTGGGTGCTACGGGCCCATCCAGGTGGAGTTTGTCTCAGCAGACATCGACGAGGATATCATCCACAGAATATTCCGCATCTGCAACATGGCTCGGGTAAGTGTGGGGCCTCCTTTTGCAAAGCAGATGGAAGTTCCTGGGAGAGGAGCCTGCTCAGGCAGCCAAGTCTATGTGACAGTCTCCTCGTGATCTCTTCCTTGGGGAAGTGAAGCCTTTGCGCATTCCGGCTCCAGACCCAGCAATGACTCCAGTACAGAGAGGTGCTAAGAGCGATATCCAGCTTGCCATCTGCCTATTTGCTGATACACTTGCTGCCATGTAGACCAAACTTCCCAAGACATTAGCTCTGCCACACCACTTTGGCACCAGCTGATATAGCCTTTGGCTGATCCTATAAGCTTTGGGCTGGGTCCCGCACGTATCAAGATGGAAAATAATGAGCTGCTTTAATGAGCCTATATATTCACTGGTACGATGGAAGAGTATTGGGTTAGAGGAAACAGGATAGTGATCTTTGAAATGGTGGCCAACTATTGATCTCTACTGGGAGCCCAGGGTGAACGGAGTTCAGTCTCTACTTTCAGAGTTCACTATTTAACGGGAAGGTGAGCTATATTTTGAATAGGAACCTCAGGAAGAGAAAAAACTGTGCTCACTAGGGTCAGGCATAGTGTCCCTAAAGCAAAGGATATTAGAATTGGGCTTTGATGATCGAGGAGTTTTTCAGGTAGAGAGAAGAGAATCAGTATACACAAAGATCTAGTGGCACGTAAGAGGATATAGTCTGTGGCACTTCCGTGATGACATGAGTTCGAGCCCATGTAGTGTGCCTTGCAGTAGGCTGCAACCTTGAGGGTATCTGGATGACTTGCATCCCCATCAGAATAATCTTATCAAGCCCTCTGTTTGCAGCCCCAGGATGGATATCGTATAGTCCAGCACCTCCAGTACATTGGCTGGCCTGCCTACCGGGACACACCCCCCTCCAAGCGCTCTCTGCTCAAAGTGGTCCGGAGGCTGGAGAAGTGGCAGGAGCAGTACGATGGGAGGGAGGGACGCACTGTGGTCCACTGCCTGTGAGTATTGTGGGAATGTCTCCAGAACAATGGGATGATGGGTGAAAGAGCATGCTTAAGGATGCTCCTGGCCACATACGCCAACCAGGCCTAGGCATGTTTGGCTATACCACACCTCGATGTCCATAAATACCAATGGCAAATATATTCAAAGGAATTACAATCTTTTAATAAGCTGAGGTCTCCAGTTGTCTTAAACTATTTTTATATAGCATATTATTATTGATACAAAACATAGAAGAAGCAGACCATTCCCCCAGTGCTTCCAAAATGGAGGTGTGCCCTACCCTCCAAAAGGAAGCTTGATGTATCCTGCTAGTTACAAGCAAGCTCAGAATATGGTGGGACCCTCTAACCGGAACTTCCTTTATTATTTCCTGAAAAAGAAGAAAAGAGAAGGCATTAACTTAGCTTAATGGAAGCCCAATATTTTAAATGAATCACCTCATAACGTCTGCCAGGTAGATATTATCATTTTGTAGTGCGGTAACTGAAGCGCAAACAGGGTAAGGGATCAACAGGTTGAGAGGGGAGCTGAGATTTGTGGTCACTGGACTCTAAGATAAAGTATCCTGCGCTGACTGACACTGCTTCTGAGTAAACTAAAGGACTCACCCATGAGACAGCCTCCTGCGACATCTCCTGCTGTGGGCTCAGTGGGCATATGGGGGCACAGAAAGCATGAAAGCAAGACGCTGCTCTGAGGGCCTGTGACAGGGCCACAGGGGCTTACAATTAGGGTTTCTGTCTCCATTACTGTTATGAACTGGAGCTTTCACTTGTGCTGTGGAGCTGGCACAGCACAGTCAAATGGACTCCAATGTCATTATGTGCGGTGAGAGTCAGAGCCTTAGAGGACTGTGGTTGACAAGCTACGCAGCATTAGGAAAATCACTTATTTTGTGACCCTTCATTTTATCATTTTTCCACTGAGTGTGTAGAATTAGATCATCTTTAGATCCTGTAGTGCTTCAGCATGAAACAGAAAACATAAACAATATGTCTGTCAACATAAAGATCGACAGTGTCGTGGCTATGTTATACAAACGCTGTCAAGGAAATTACTTAAGAGAGCAAGGGTAAGAGGCCACCTTAAGAGTATAAAGAGACCACAGAGAAGGATTCTACAAGGATGTCAGACCCATAGCAAATCTACAGCCTTTAACAGCTTTGTGTGGAATGTTTGATTCACAGTCAAGCACTTTGCTTCTTAGAACTTAAATGACTTGGGAACAAATGACTGAGAGGGCCCCCTCTTTAAAAAATGTTGTCCTACATTTTGTTGAACCAAAGCCTTCTCTTTTTCAAATTATTTCTGGAGCAAGTAGAGGCATTACTAACATCTCACTGATCTCAAAATTGAGTCTTTTCAAAACTATCTAATTGTTCAATTTTTTTCAAATAGACAGTGCCCGTGCATGCCAGAAAAGCCAGAGAGCTTGAAGGAGGTTAAACACACCATGCACACTCACAGCTTAAGAGATACTACTGTAACAAAACCCCTTCCCAAAGGATACAGATCTCCAAGTGCAGTCCGGGAAGGAGCTATGTAGTGTGCTTTGTGCGTGTTGGGGTGGTGGGTGGCACCAGCCATGCTGAGCTGACTCTGCCCGTATCCCAGAATCTGGCATCTGGCACCCAGCCAACTAACACTAACTCTTTCTACTCCCCTCCCACATATTCAGATTGCCCCAAGAGTAGCCCAGGGCCACCAGGGCCACGAGGCCCTCTTGGGCTCTGCTGTTCTTGCTTCAGAAATACTGGTCCTTTTTTCCTAGGAATGCTTCCTACTCTCTCGTGAGATTTTTAGCCTGCTCTTTTTTGCAGAAGTACCTTTTTATCCATGTCTTCCCTAGCCAAGGCGACCAGCAGTTTGAATTAAAGGAAAGCACGGGAGTATCATCTACTAACAGGAATCTGGGGTATCCCTGGGGGTCCTGGGAACCCTAAAAGTCACTGAAATGGAGCCACCAGCCAGTGAAGGAAGGATAGCTATCTGTACTTGAAACATCTGGTTGATGGGTATCCTGTAGATAAAACATCTAAGAGACTGACTGAGTGACTTAGTTTCCATCCAGATGTTCTTTAGACACGGCCCATTACAGGAAATCATTAGCTGCTCTTGGCAGTGTGCCCAGGAATTTGGAATCAGGTAGATTCCTAAAGGGACTTTCTATAAGGAGTCTGAGGGATGTTTCTATGAAGATGATTTATAGAGCTTCAGAAAGAAGGAGTAACAGAAAGATGGCCTTGCCAAGAACACTATTCATACCCTCAAGCTCAGCAGGATCTTTCTTGAAGATGTACGTGTAGAGACCTCGCTTGTTAGGACACACACCCTCCCATCCCCAGGCCTAACCCAGGCCTATAGGCCCCAACCTGGGCGGGCTGGTACTAGGCTGCTCCTAGAGGAAGACGGGGGAAAAAAGGAGTAGGAAAATCACCTGAAACCTTCCACTGTCTTCGCTGGATATGTAGGTAGAGCCAGAGTATCCTTTCAGACAAAGATGCAGGTACCTCAGGTACAAAGATGCAGGTACCTCAGGTACAAAGACACAATGTCATCCTATCAGGGAGGTGTGGGCAGGTGTGCCAAGGGTGACTGTTCTCTGCTCATGGAACCAAGGACACATCAAGCTAATCAAACCCTTACAAGTCATCCAGTCCAGCACCTTCATTATATGAAAGAGAAATTGGAACTCAGACAGAGGAAGCCACTTGTTCAAGGTCGAAAAAGCTTCACGGCACAAATGGGATTCAAACCAAAACTCATGGCTCATGCTAAAGCTTTCACTGCTCACTGCCTTACTTAGCACTTGCCAAGGCGGCCGCGCCTTAGTACTACAGTGTGACCCTAAATCCCCAGGCATCAGGGAGGGTGGGACAGGACCGAGGCTGACCTCTCCTCTCTGTGTTTAGAAACGGGGGAGGTCGCAGTGGAACCTTTTGTGCCATCTGCAGCGTGTGTGAGATGATCCAGCAACAAAACATCATTGATGTGTTCCACATTGTGAAAACACTGCGGAATAACAAATCCAACATGGTGGAGACGCTGGTGAGTGTCCCAAGAACTGCTCTTCAGGGAACTCACTATAGTTCCTTAGACTTAAAGAAAATGATGTCAACTGGCACAATCCTTCACCAGTTGAGTGCTTACTGAGTACCTAGGGTCTTTGCCCTTTGCATACGCTGCTGTCTGCCCATTTCTCCCCCTTCCAGCCCCACCCACCTCTTTCTCCTGCAGAGAAATCCAAATATTAATCCCAGTACACCTACTTTGTTTTACTTTCTTCTCATTCCTCAGGAAAATATCATTAATTCAGGCTTAAGGGAAAGAATTCTGTATTAGTAGAGTAAGAATTATGATTTCAATTCAGTCCATACCTATTCTAATTCATTTATGCTAATTTTATGGTATAAAGCACTGAACTAGGACACTATGGAAAGAAAGATAGTAAAGAAAATGGAAAGGCAGAGCCCAAGATGATGAGACTTTGTACAATGATGGGAACAGCCCCTACATGAGGAACTTGAATATAAGTCTTTAAACCCACTCAAAGTGTGACCTTACTCAAAATGAAATCCTACTCAGAAAATGGTCCTCAGACAACATCTGCGTCATCTGAGAGTGTGTAAGAAATGCAGAATCTTATGTCCCTCCCCAGATTTACTGAATTAGAATCTGCATTTTTAACAGCTATACCTGGGTTTTCTGTATGAAGGTTATAATTCCAGAAGCACTGTTGTACAAAATCCTAAAAAGAAAGGGAACTATCCCAGTTAGGTATCCAAGAAAGCTAGGGTAGAAGTTGGCCTCAAGCAGAACACTGAAGGATGTCCAGATATGGATAATTTCTTGTTGACTTTCAGTATGGATGTAGATAAAATTTCCTCCAAAATCTGTTTCTCTAGTCTAATGTGTCTTCCCTTTCCTTTTTTATCTCTCTTATCACCTTTTCTGTCTCTCCTCCTCTCAGGAACAGTATAAATTTGTATACGAGGTGGCACTGGAATATTTAAGCTCCTTTTAGCCCAGTGGGGTGTGGGAACCTGCCAGAGTTCAGAGGCTGCTGTGGCCAAGCCCCTTCTTCTCTGAATGGCAGTGACTGGGCCCGGGGACTCAGAGGTGGCACCCCTGCCTAACTCCGAAAAGAAGACTGGTGGCTCCAAGTTCTGTAGTCGGCTCTGCACCTTCTGAGGGTCTCCTGTAGCTGTGGGAGATGCTACACTCACAAGCCCAGGATCCCTTCCAAACCAGACCAGCCACAGCCTTGGGCCGGAACAGAAGTGCACCCACAAACAAGGCCCTGGACTTGTGGTTCCCAGACCTCTTGCTTTTGTTCTTTCCGAGTTTGTGAATCTCACTGCAAGCCAACTGTGCAGGTGCTGGGGAGCAGGAGGCTGGCCAGCACCTCTTTTTCCCTCCTTGTCTTAGGAGTGTTGGGAATGTGAATTCTACTCCTCCATGCAGTTGTTACGGAAAAGAATGGGGATTTGGAAGTCACTGCTCTGATGCCCCTCTGATGCAGTTGTCATCTAGATGAGCATCAGGGTGACCTCAGAATAACCCTGAGACCATGGCAGAGGCTCCTCTCCATCCTCACAACTTACTTGCATGGGGCGTGGCCCACTACCATGCTGAATCCCTTCCCCAGCTCAGCCCTTGACTGTCTTTCATTCACTGGCCAGCCAGCTCTGCCCACAGTGCACTTCGATAAAGGTTTTCTTTCCTTTTTTTGTGGTCTGTGGGAGGAGGTGGAACTGTGGGGGAATGTTGCCACTCCTCCTTACCTTTGTAAAAGGGACTAGCCTAGTGCAGGGCTCTGGCTGGCTTGTACAATGTAACCCTTATGTTTCCTGGGCCGTAGCTTCCTCTGGGAGGGATGAAGAAAATAAGATGTGATTATTTTCCCAAGTGTATGTGAAAAGAAATTTTCTGTTAAGGGTGTAACATCTTAGTCTCTTATGTTAAAAAGGTAGGGTGGGAGTTTGAGTGTGTAGCTATGAGACAAATCTTTGGAGCCTATTATATTGTCTGGCTGTGTCCTTGAAAAGTTCCCACCTAGGATAGTATAGCCATTGAGCAAGGGAGAGATGGGCTAGTCAGAAAATGGTATCTGGGCACCAGCTTTGAGCATAATTTGGATCTCCAAATTGGAACTTCTTCCTAGAGAAATCTAGTGTCCATCTTGCAAAAGGCCTTTGTGGACCCAGTCGTGCTTTGGTTTAAAGGGATTAGGCCTGGGACTCTGAGTCTTGCCCAAAGTATGAGCAAGTCAAGGAAAGGGAGGCAACATCTGCTAAGTATCTCCTCTATGAAAGCATCATGCTTGGCACCTTCCATATGACATGTCACATAGTCTCACTACCCCCACCAGGGAGCTCTTATCATCTCCATTTTGCAATTGAGGAAACTGAGGAACCTTCCTGGGCTCCACAAAGGCAGGCAAAGACAACAAAACTACTCTAAAGTGTTTTCTTCCTACTTTCTCAGCCAAGGAATTATTTTATGGAGGAAGAATAAGGCTAGAAACTTCTGAACAGAGAACTTCATGAATGAAAATTTCGTTCTTTCTTTCTGATGCCAGTTCTTCTGGGAAGCCCACATTTTCAGATATATTTTATCTGAAATAAAATATATCAGATATATTTTAAGTCATTCCTTGCTCCCTTGGAAAGCTAGTTTCATCTAATTTCTTCCTGCAGTGAAAAACAATTCTCCTACACCTTCAAGCTGTAAGGGAGCCGGCCAGGGACACTCTCTACTTTGGTCTCTAGCCAGTGCTTAGGTACAATGTCTGACACACTCGTGTGTCCTGAGATCTAAGAACCTCCATCTTGCAGGCTGGTCTAACCCTGAATAGGGTATGAGGAGCACAGAATTCAATAAGGCATAGTTTGTGCCCTTAAAGTCTCACTGTGTACTGGGGAAATTGGACCACAGTGCAGTTGCAGTGGAGTATAGGAGTGTTACATGGGCCTATGTGCAAGAGAGTTTCACTCTGCCTAGGGCTCTCTAAAGGAAGTAGCATCCATTCCAGCTGGGTCTCATCAGATACAACAAAGGAAACAAGGAGATTCAAGCCAGTGGGTCAGTATGTGCAATGCAAAGAGGTATGAAAAGGCATCAGGAAAGACAGAAGATGAGAGGCCAGCCCAGCTAGAGCATAGCAGGACAGGAGGAATGGCAGGAAGTAAGCTAGGGTCAGGAAGACAGATGCCCCACAGAGAGTGCAGATGTTGTCCTGTGGTCAACAGGAAGCCAGCAAAGCTTCACGGTGATGTGCTCACCCCGTGCTGAGGAGGCCAGCGGGGCTGCCCCCTTCTCCTTTCATCAGACACTGTGAAAACATTCCCGTGAGCGTGCTATTTTTTAATATTGTATCTATTTGTCTTTCTGCTCATTATTTTGTGGCTGGAACAAAATATGCAGCGGGTCATGAGATGCTGTTCCTGTAAGAAACCCAGGATGTCTGCTTTACCACAGAGCAGGGTCAGCAAGCCAGGCCTCCAAGCCCACTAGGATGGAACATGAAAGCAGCCCACAGAAGCTGCTTCCATTGGCATAGGCTCTGGAGCTGCCTAGATGTCCAGACCACCAGACTTGATCAAGGAATCTGTCACTTTGAAAGTTCAAAAGGGAATCTCAAAGCAAAGGACCCCTGTGACTAACTCACTCTTCTTCTTTGATGGACCTCTTCCTAAGTGTATTTGAGCAAGTCCCCAGGGCCCAGCCCTGACTGGTCCTGCTGGCTTCCTCTGGCCCCAGCTCACTGTCCCAACTGGCCTTCCCAGCCTCAAGGAGACTGCAGCATGGTATATCAGCCTGTTGTCTGCTCTTTCCTGAGATCTTGGTTCATCCAAACAGGCTGAGGATGAAAGGAGGGCTGTTTAACACAAACCCTGGGTTTATGCTGCTCAGGGAGGAGGGAAATAGCTGCCGGATAAAAGTGAGGGGGCCTCTATCATTTAAAATGGTGGAAATGTAAAGGGCAGCTTCAGGGAGGAGGAAATTTGTAAAACTTCAGGCCATGGTCTGGTAACCCAATAAGAGCCAGCTTGTTCCCTCATTTTACCACAATTCAGCCACCCTCCAAGAAGGTACGGTAGTGAACTGGTCTTAGGCTAGCATACACAAAAGGAACTGAGGCTTGTGGGTGGATATGACTTCTCTAATATCCCACAGGGAGGCTATATGGCAGGGGTTGAATGAGATCGGGTAAAGATGCTCAGAATTTGGACTTGATTACCTGCTCAGGAAATCTCTCAAGCAAACACCACCTCTCCAGATGTATCCCCACCCCACCTTAGTAACAAGGTAAGCTCACCCATCCATGAGCAGAGGAAAATAGTATTAATGCTCTCCACAACAGAAGCACACTCATCTACAAGGTGCCAAAGAGCACCCTCCCTTAGCAAAGATCTTCCTCTGGCTCTCATCTCCTAGATAGGGACCTCATTTGAAGAAGATGCAAAGAATTAATGAGAAGCCAGAAATTTTCCCCACCTGTGTGTGTGTTTATGGTCTAGATAGATTCAAAACATACCTCAGCTGTGTCCCAACACTGTGTCTTTTCACCCAGCTGCTGTAAAGATCTTGGGCCAGCCAGGAACCTCTGAGCCTCTAGACAGCCTCAGCAAGTCTCTCTTTGTGGGAAGAAAGGTACCAGCTTGCTTTAGGCGTTGGCCTTCTTTGTGCATGTGGCCCAAGCAATGGTGCATTAGATGTCAACTATCACATGGAACTAGCTGAACCTGTGCTGGGGACTTTAATATGTGTGCTCATTTCTTCCAATATTCCTAAGAAGAATGCTTGTGATTATCATATCACCCCTGTACTGAGGAAACAGAGGCTCCCAGGGAGCAATCACTTGCCCACTGATCCATACCTAGTAAATCAGCAAGCCAGAAATTAAACTTATTTTTTTTCTGACCAAAAGACAATACTTTTCCACCATTGTGTCTCAGATTTTCCCATGGAGTTACCCATGACAGTAAAGACTAGAGCGGAAGGGATAGCTCAGTAGATCTTGGTAAAGCCCAACGGTAAGTATAAAATTCCTTTACAGTCTCTATTTTAACAGTTCATGCAACATTTGCATTCTACTTCCTAATTTAAACTGATTAGTTTTAACATGACTCTATAAATACTCTTTAAAAATGTGCCCTGTATCTCATGTGGTTTTGATCTGTTCAGGCCACTTGTATGGACCCTAGGGAATGATATCCCAATCTGTGATATAGTGTCTGACCTGCTGCTTCCCCACTAAGGCCAATTCCAGACTCAACCTCAAAATGAGTCAGAGCCACCCTCCTATGGGCAGATCCTTTGGTGTGGGAGGACCCGACCTCACTGTTCCCAGGCTAACATCAACTAAGGCCTCTTCCAGTTGGGTGCAGGAAGGAACCATTTAACAGACTAGAATGATGAGGACTTGCCCATCTGGCATGGTGAGAAGTGATACCACAAATCCCTCAAAGGAAAAGGGAAGCTGGATGCAGCATTAGGCAACAGACTCCTGAATCCTGGGCTTCTAGAAGGTGGTCCCCATTGTCTAGGAGGAGTTCCATGTTAGCTGATGTGAGCAACTGTGTGAACACATTTTACATGAGGGGTATGGTCTAGAAAGCCACTCAATTTACCCTAATACACATTCACTGGGTTTGTACAACATGCAACACTCTGGAGAAGTGCTACCAGAAAGCACAGATTGCTATGGCATGGTGCATCCCTTGGTGAGGGATGGGGTGATGGGGGAAAGAGCTCAGTCTTTGGTTTGAACTCTAGCCTTGCCATTTCTTGGCTATAAAATACTGGACCAAACAACTCATGGAAAAATAAGCATGCAAAGGGAAGCCTCAGCCAGATTATAAGGAGTAAATTTGGGGAACATCAGGTAGGAAAACAGGAAGGCAAGACCAGAAAATTGAAAGCCAATGAACGCTCAGAGCCTAGGATGGTTATAGACTATTTGGCCACTTCTATGACATGGCAGGACAGGATGAGGCAGAGGTGCAGCTTGGGGGGGGATCTCTGGGGTGAAAGGTGACCATCATCTTCCCTCTGACCAGTCATGCTTGTTTATCTTCCATTTCTGGGTACACTTAAACCCGAATGTGTATCCTTAGCAGAATCCATGTCTCCACCACTTTAGCAAGGCTTCTACAGACCACAGAAATGAGGCCCAGGTAGGAAGAGCTTGGCATTTACGTCATCTCTGGACCAGTGACTGCCCAACCCAGATCCAGAAACATTGAAGGAAATGATCATTCCCTTGGACCTCACTGCCTAAGGATAGAATGAAGGGAGCCACTTTTCCTTAGTCTGCACCTGGCCACTCCTGGGCTGGCCAGATAGGCCATCAGCACCGAGCTGAATCAGGATTTGCTGTGGAAGACATGGGTGAACTCAAATGTAAGCATAAGCAGGATGTTGATCCTAAGCCAAAAAGTCAATAGACTATACTGAGCCAAAATCCCTAGGGACAAGTTGCCAACCAAAGCTGAAGAGAGTGCCACAGTACAAAACACAGATTGTCATTTCATCTCAAAACTCTGACTTCCGGACTTAACCTTTCCCATCACAAAACCAACATGAGCCCCTTCTCAGCCACTGAACAGCTCCAAATCACAGCCAAGTATAACAGAGAAATAAGAAAAGTAAATCCAACTGGAGACAAGCAACCGAGATTCAGTCTTGTTTGTGTACACCCATGCAAAGGCTTCCTGTCAGGGGTTTTCTGTGTATACTTATCTAGGAATTATACAATATGAGTTTTGGCTTCTCCTAGCAGGAATTTGCCTATGAGGTCATATACTGTCTGAACAGCAGGAAGACAGGTCGGAGGTAGACAGTCAGCTCCAATTTCCTCTGACATGTATTTCAGGGTCATAGATCTGATCCTTAGAAGTACCAAAGAGATGTCTATGCCATATCTGTGCACATAAACAGACTTAGTTTCTTGGTAACCAAGGATAGACTTTTGCTTGAGACTGACTGTTCAACTGTCTTGGAGAAATCAAGACCATGTCTTTCCTGTTTCTTTCCCAGCTTCAGAAGAGGTAGAAAAATGTATCAAAGGGAACACATTCACTTATGAAGTCCACCCCTGAATGTTAGGTTTCCAAGAAGAGGAATCAGCATTCACAATGTTAACCTCCAAGCCTGACATGCCATCCATCTAAGAGCTTGTTGGTCCACTAGGGATATGGGAAGAGTCAGGACAGAAGAGGGTCTATTGGAAAGAGCTTTGAGAACTAGATAACCATGGGGCTTACCTATGTGTTTGAGTACTTCTCTGGGTGGTAGGATGTAGACTCTGGTCCTTGATTGGAATTCACAGAGAAAGAAAAGGTAGGGACTTTGGAGTACTGGTTAGGAAAGTATGAGTATGAAAGCCTGGAGCTCAGGGTAGTTAATGTAGTTCATGGCTCCTTGGTTAGCAGGACTCTTGGATTGGGGGGGGTAAGGAATAAACTGGTAAAACTACAAAGTTGACTCTTGTATAAGTATTCAGTGCCTTTGGGTTTGTGAATACAAATTGGTAGGCTTTATGTGATGGTCTGACCAACTCCTGTAGCCCACCCTCCTGAACAGAGTGGCGTCATTCTAAGTCATTCTAAGTTAAATCAGGCTTCTGAAGTTCAGGTAGAATACTGCTGCCCATATCTTTTGTAGATTACTGTATCTACTGCAGATTATTGGATAAAGAAAGCACAATTTGCTAGCTCTGAGCTACTCCTGTGAATGGAACCACTACCAATGAGGGAAATTTCAGAGCTGTAAGGAAGAACTTCTGACTGCCAGAGAGGATGAGCTGTGCAACTCAGTAGCTGTCTGACAGATGCCAGGTGTCTCCCTAAAGGGTAGAAGCATTGCTGAGCTGATCTTTTGGTCATTTCCATCCTAGGTGGGTGAGATCCTGTGGAGCTTGGATCATGTTTAAACTCATTTATACTTGCAGTCAAGTCATGCTTTGTGCAGGTTGGAGCCTCCTGCTCACCCATACACACCTACTTAACACACTAGCCAAGATGCTATTCTGGCCACAAATCCTGGGCTCATCCAAGCTTGGTCATCACCAAACACTAAGCCAGAAGAAACAACTGCTTTGCCATAGATATGGTACCCACTGAGATCTCTGATGAGAACTTACTGGTCAACAGGGCCATCAGAAATAGCAAGACCTATTAAAGGCCCAAGCAGGACCCAGAGCAAGGCTTCACTTACCATGTTCATTATCTCCAAAGGTTTCTACCCCGATTCCCCCCTCAAGGCCCATTGGCACAGATTTCAAAAGCACAGTGACACAGTGAATACAAGATTTTAATCATTCCCAGTGCATATATTTCATCACTTGGGGGATCTTGGGTTTGCCAAAGTTAACCCTAGGTAACCCATATTGGTAATCACACTCAAAAGCACTTTTGTATCTTCTCTTTTCATTCCACATCCTTGTGACCATCAAAGACAGAATTGAGACCTCTATAATTGTTTTGGTTACTGGCCACCCTCGTAGCTCTCTAACAGCTATCATGTGGTCCCCACTCATCTCCATGGAGGCTGACATATTTATATCCATGAAGCATATGATATTGCATGAGACCAGTCTCCACAATATTGGCAGCCTCCTCCACAAATCCACATGGTCTGCACTTGTACAGTTTGGGTGTTTGGTAGATAAAGCACGTATGAGAAGAGAAAACAAAATAAATAAACTTTTAAAAGGAGCCAGCACTGTGCTGTCAATGTTCATTTTTTTTTTCCTTTTTCTTTCCAATTCTAGCTTAAAAAAGCAGAAGGTAAATAATGTCAGGTCAATGAATATCAGATATATTTTTGACTGTACATTACAGTGAAGTGTACTCTTTTTACACCTGCAAGTCCATCTTATTTATTCTTGTAAATGTTCCCTGACAATGTTTGTAATATGGCTGTGTTAAAAATCTATACAATAAAGCTGTGACCCTGAGATTCATGTTTTCCTAAGATATTCGCACTGGTGTCTTCCTGAGGTTGGGTGGGAGTGAGACGGGAACACATTGAAGTAGAAGGGAAAAATCCTATAATCAACTAGTTTTCTTTATATTTATGTTTATTTAATTTTTACAACTACAACACAGGAAATATGTATTATCCTCTCTTTGAAAAAGTTGAGAGTCAGAAATATCAAGGGATTTCCCATGAGTATACACTGCCTAATAAAAAGGGTTGGGTATAAAGCAGTGTTTCTTGAGTATGGTCTACAGAGTACTGGCATTAGAGCACAAGGACGTTTGTTAAGCACACAGTTTTAAGCTCCTACAGAATCACCATTTCAAGGTCTGCATACCAATAAGCTACCCAAATGTATCAGCTAGCTATTGCTGCACAAGAAACCACTCCAAAATACAGTGACCGGAAACAACAGTCTTTTAGAATAGTCATCTGGGACTCGACTTCTGAAGGCTGAGTTCATCTAATCTCACCCTGGATCGATTAGGAGTTGGCCAATGGCTTTATTCTAGGCCTCAGGCATTGGTCGGTGCACTCTGCTTTATGTATGTCTGATGTTCCTCCAGTGAGACCAACAAGCTTGCCTAGACATACGCTTCTTCTGGTGATGACAGGAACATGAAAGAGAAAGCCCAGTTGCATAAGCATTTTGCAAGCCTTTGCTTGAATCCTATCTGTAACATCCTACCAGACAAAGGTAGTTAAGTTACATGGAATGCTCAGACTCAAAGAGGCAGACCTCTTGAAATAGATCTCTCTTCTCAATTTTCCAATGAATGCTGAGATTAAACACCAAACAATTAATGCCCGATGTACCCTGTACCTTTCCAATCTCAGAGTGTAATGTACCGGTCGCCTACTTCGTTGCACCGAGGAAACAGCTAAACAAGCCAAGTCTAAGGACAGGAGCCCGGAGTTTGTATGCTTAACAAGTACCCCATCCCCAGTACCAAAAAAAACAAACAAGTACCCCAGATGATTTTACTACAGGCTCAAGTTGGGCAGCTGGTGTTTTAAATGCTACAGCTGTTAGAGAGGGGCAGCAAGGAGTTCACGAGGAAAGAGACAAGCCAGTTTCAAGCTAGTGTATGGCTGCCAATCTCTGAGTTGGATGCATATGATCTCTATTTTCTAGACAGTCAGAAGAAACAATTAGAACAAACTCCTTGAAGTTTACTGTTCCCAAGTTCTTTGCACAGATCCAGATATGAGCACAAGCTGCAGGGCTAGAATTCAGGGTTCACTTTGTTTTGTTTCACCCTTGGGAACTTGGCAGGGTTCCTATGCCTGAGGAACCTATATAATGCCCACTCCCCCAAGCCACAGAGCCTGAAGAGTATGTGCTTCCCTAAGTGGGGAACTCAGTGTCTAACCAAATTAGTTATCTTTGCCTTGGTCATGGTAATCTTACTTATTCTGCCTGCTATAATTATGCTTTGGCCATAAATGTAATAGATGATTCTGAGAAAAGAAAATTATAAAGAAGAAAAAAATCTTACATAATGCCTAATAACAAAAATAATTTGGGGCATATGATATTCCCCCAGAATGGAAATACTTTTTAAAGAAAAATTATAAAAGTAGCACATATTCACTTGACAGAACTCAATAAAAAATTGTTTGAAGCATAAGGTGAAAGTTCCCAGCTAAAAGTACTTGTTAATATTTAATGTCATTCTAGATCTTTCTATACATATGTAAACAAACATACATGCATTTTCTACATAAATGGCATCAAGATAGATGACAGATAGAAGATAGATAGATATATAGATAGATAACAGAATTATTTAGAGATGTGTTTCTTTTCTCTTAACAACATACAGAGTGGTCATATTTCCATGAAATTTGCTTAGATAAATGTCACTTATCATCCCTGACACCTTCACAGTACTCCTGAAAACTGAGGCTAAAGTATTTTGGGTACATCAAAACTCAGGTGTTCCCTTAGCAACGCTAAGGAAGTTATCCTAGCTGTGGGACCAACATTAACAGCGAGGGACACCCCTTTCTGTGTGCTTCAGCTCTGGAGACAGGCACAATTTCCTTTGTGTGTCTATCCAAGTGGGTCATAGCTGGGCCTTCCTGTGTTGCTGGACCTTGTGTGTGGGCTTCCTATAACTTATGAGCAGCTTAATCAGACTGATTTGTATGTCTGGTTTGACCTAAGATCTTCCCCTGATTCCCTAGACAAATCAGAAGCCCACAGACATGTGGGTATATGTCTTGAGGTCATCAACCTGCCATGCAAGAGAAAAGAAAAAAAGATTTTATCTCTCTCTGTCAGTGTTTGTGTGCAATGAAAAGGGACCAGAGAGAAAAACAAAGTCAGTCAATAGAAGGAGAAATCCACTTTGGTAAATTTTAGAAAATTTTTGAGCACTTAGTCTTTAGGAAAGGCAACTATTCCCCTCCACGTCCTGGCCTAGGTGACTTTCTCTTAAAATTTACCAAAGGAATTGAGCCTGTAATCTCCATTGACATGTGGTAGAGATGTGACGCCCACAGACAGATGCCAACCACAAACGGAGCAATTGGAGACAGACAGAAGCTTGAGATGATAATCCCCTGGAAATCACTAGAAACTGAGAAGGTTTCAGCTTTCACAGTTCATAGAATAGGCATTGGAGTAAAGTTTACTTATTCAAGGACATCTGGAGTACACGGAGAAATAGATGGAAAACACACAGAGAACTATAGATGCAGAGAGAAAATAAATTGAATATATAAATGCATTAAAAATTGTATCAAAATACAGTGCTAATCTCCCATCATAAGAAACATGGGTAAGTTTTGTTTATAAATTTCTATATTCTCTCAATTTTGTATTACTTTTATACATAGAAAAGCCAATTACATTAAAAAAATAAAAATAGCAGAACATTAGAAAATGAGGACAGGACAGATAAGATAATACCATGTATGGGATCAATCCCAAAGATCTACCAAAGATCAAGAGGTTCAAAAACTTGGTATTTCCATCATCTGAAACAAAGAGAATATGATCAATTAGTCAACTCAATGTCCAAAAGTGTAAATTTAAGCCTAGATGAAATTATTTTCTAGATATTCCCTTAAATACTGGCTTCAACAGAATCCTTAGCAAAACACAATACATTTCCCACCCTGAACCCTGAATGGCTTCACGCCACAGACCATCTCAGTGAAAGCTCTTAACTGAAGGGCCAAAATACAGGGGCCCAGCTACCCATCTCTCTGCAAATCAGCCCTAATCCAGGTGTAGGCTTGCAGAATCTTGAATATTGCACTGCCTGAGCATCATACTCCTCTCCTCTCTAAGTGTCCGTGAGTGAGGCGGAGGCTTTTATCCCAGACAATAACCAGCAAAGTAGCTACTCTGAGTTGTTTGTTAAATTTAGATCCTCACTTTAATAGCAGCTGAGCATAGAAGAGGATTACCACTTCCTTTTGAAGGATGAGAAGCCTAAAAACTAACCATATATGCCTACATAGAAGATGAATATATTCCTCTAGGAAGGTGGGGCAAGAAGTGTGAAGAAACCTCATTCCAGGTTATAATGAAGGTTGACTCTATGTCCTCCCTCTTTCCTCTAACATACCTACAAATATGTAGTCAAGACTGCAAACCTGTGACCACACCTGGCAGTGAATTGTGTAAATTGGGGAGGAATTTCCTCTGATTACAAGACAGAAGAAGCTGAAATGAGATTCACAATTAGTGATTGATGCTGAATCATGTTTTGCTACCTAAATGATGAAAAGGGGCCTCAAGGAGGATGAAGTGGTTCATCCCTCTCGGGTGCTGTTCCAGACGGTTCATATTCAGAAAATTGGTCAGTGGTCCATTTCTTATTTCCTAGGAGATGAAATGACGTTAAGAAAAAACAGAATAGCAGGGAGAAACTTGCTGAGGTACACGTTAAGGATTTTAGCTTTCAGGCCTCCCATCTGTTTGGAGCACCCCAGAGACAGGAAGGGAGAGGTGAAAGCTGATTGTTAGTTGGAGACATACGAGACTAAGTAAAGCAAACATCTACTGAATATACTGCAAAAATTCTTGGCCTCACCTTTTATCTCATCCATGGCTGTGTTGATCATTTCCAAGCAGGCTTCGGTAGATTTTGTGCAGGGAAGACCACAGTATCTCCCTTTGGACAGGTTGTGCATTGCCTGCTTCTTACTCCATGATTTCTGATATGTGTACCACCCAGAAATGCAGGGGAGTTGATGCTCCATGGTGCAACTTTTGACCAACAAGAGACTTGAGGCTGTGGAGCAATCCTCTAAAGGCAGCGCTGAATTATATTTCATGTAATGTTTCAGACAGTCCCAGAATAACCAGGCTCTTACAGAAGTAGGCAACTCAGTAGCACGTGCTATATTGTTTCTTCCTCCCTTCCTCCCTAATTAGCACCCCTTTCCCTCATTATTCTTGGAATCATCTTTCCAAATAAATATCATGTCAGGTTTTGCTTTTAGAGGAATGCTAGCTGAGAACCAAGCTTAAACTATGCACTATATTCCGTCCTCCAGCTGTTAATCTGCCAACACCCATAGAGGGCTGCCAGCTGTCCAGTTAAGCTTTTAATCCAAGGACAAAATGGACTTGGTATAAAGTGACTCAGGTGGAAGAGCTTTTAGTCAATCCTGGGCTCATCCTGTGTGTCATGCAGTTAATTTGCTGCTCATATTTGGGAACAGGAGTCCTGCCATCCCATATTTTTGCAGAAAATACTTGGCAAGCCTCCCTAGTAGACAGTGAAAAGGGCAGTAAAAGGTCCTTTGTAGAACCCCTCTGTGAGCCTTATTAAGAATCCATGCACAAAGAATCAGGAGCCTGCAGCAGTACTTACCCCCAGCCTATCCTTAGCAAGACATGGATCCTGATAAACCGTGTAGGCTCCTAGTTCCTAATGGACCACGTTGTGCCAGGAAAAGACGCAGATGGTGAGGTGAGATTTCCATCCAACCCTAAACACAGATACAGACCTCCTCCACATGGATGTTTCTGG